AGCCCCCGCTTCAGCGAACGACCCCCCCCCTTCGGCGCCGGCGGCTTCGGCTCCCCCCCCCCCCCCGGGCGAGGCCGGCCCTTCGACACCCTTATCGTCCCCTTCCCCCTCGACGGTTTCCGACGGCGGCGGAACTTCGGGGTCCCCGTGGACGACAGCGCTGGAAGACGGAGGGTCCAATGAGGGGTCCAGTGTTGATGGTACCCCTTCCGCATCAGCTCCGGCGGCGTCGTCGTCTTCGTCGTCTTCGTCTGCAGCCCCCCCTGCATCACCCCCTGCCCCTTCTTGTAGCTGGACGACCTCGTCGATGTCGTCTTCGTCTTCGTCGTCGGAGTCTATCTCCACGTCTCGGATGTAGCCGTAGTCGATCAGCTGCGTGCGTGTGTGCGTGTGTGTTTTTCGCGCATCGTCGGGTTTCAGCTAATGAAACGCTTGTCACGGCGCAAGCCGGTTCCATGTAGAGTGGTGGACGCTGGACTTGTTTGTATGTCTAGAACCCGCCCAAAAGAACTTGGCAATTTAGTCAAGAAATTGACATAGCCAAAAAAAACTCAAATCTAAGAACTTATTATAGGCACTATTTGTGAGCCAGCCCGGTAAAAGAACACAAAAACCTATATAGCGGCCACCTGTAGCATAACCCTAGCAACTACTGTAGAACACCAGCCTCGGCAAAACCTAGAAGGTTGTTTGCAATAGTGCGGGCGCCTACTGTACTACAATAGTCGCGACAAAAACCAACACCTCCGTCTGTCGCACTACGATATCGCACAGAGTTACAGCTATTTGGAGGAGCAGCGATGTAAACCGTCAGTTAATTCAAATCTCAGTTGCTAAAATAGATGTGATTCTGTACGATATCGATATCGTTCGCCGCTGGCCCTGTGACCTCGTCTAGTGCCATGCACCGACCGGTCACTATTGCTGCTGCTGTAACGTAGACATGAGTATGCCGCGGTACAATTGATCCCTCCGGAGCGAACTCATGAAAGCACAATATCATCAAGGGGTGACACAAGATGAAAAGGCAACGACAGATACAGCACAGAGCTGCAGCTATTTTCAGCAACCGACATCGAAATCAAACCATTAGAACAGCCAGCGCTGACTGGTCTGTTTCGGTTGCCACGAAAGATTGCGCAGAAATACGCTCGTACAATTCCGCATCGCTGTCACCCACGCACAAATAACTGCCATCAACAATCGGCTAGAGATCGTAAATCGCAGAAGGCAGTTTAGGGTAAGGTAGCCTGTGACCACGGGAATCGACCTCGTCAAGTGCTAGACCAGTACGGACAGAGGGAGGCACTGGATAGAGAGATCGGTATGTAACGTGAAGACAACAACAACAGCAGCAGTGTAGTACAACATACCTTGACGACGGTATCGAGAGCGGTCGTGACGACCTTGGGGACCCCCGACGAGCACGCCGCCAGCAGGCAGGGCATGTACTTGTTTGCGTCGGTGTCGGGCGTCTCGTCCTCCAGCCTCTCTTCCTCATCGTTACGGTGGATCTCCTCTGTACGCAGGGTAGCAACCAATGGGAACGGCGGTTTCACCCCCGGGTTTCAGCCCGTGAGATCCGTGCGTTCAATGCTTGCGGAGAAACAAACAAAAAAGCTAAACGGAATACGAGGGGCGCCTCCGGAGTGGGGTGGCTCATCAGAGCATGGTAGTCGTGTCATCAAGGCGTCATGCACGATGAAAACAAAGTGTTGCCATCAGTGACGGTTCCCAAGCTCGAACAGCTCACACAGCTGACGCGTTTTCGACTCGAAGAGCCCAGCGAACCTCAACGAACCAAACTGAAAAAAAAGTAAACCTTCAGCAGTCTTGCGCTATAATCATTTGTACCGAAACTTGGGGGTCACCATTGTTTGATGAGTTCGTCGGGAGAGTTCGGGCTGGGATCGGTCGGAGTTCTTCACCGTGGTTCTGTTTCAAGGGGATGGACGATGGTGTTCGACGGTTGCTGAACACACAGCAGTTTTAGCGACAACTGCTGTGGAGCAGTTCAAACCAGAAGTGGAGGGTACGTGTTGGACTTGAAACTGCAGCAGCTTTTATCCGAGCCATATTGTACGCCGCGAGGCTCTGTGTATGTAGCGAACGCATTGGGGAACGGATGCTGTACGATTCTCTACGCAGGCACAGCCATTGGTTAGGGTTAGTGCCAACATGCGGAAAGGATACAGTCTGCTGTAGCTTCCACGTCGATGAAACCAATGACAGATTCAGATTTGTCTCAACGGGCCGGACGTGCTTTGTGATTATGCGCCCAACAAAAGGGGGTGGCGTTTGCAACAGCAAAGAGAATGCCTCCACTCACTGATACTACTTCAGCACCTCCCTTTCGACAAACTGGTTTATAGAAGCGGTACAAATCTCGAATGGGTCGCTTTCTGTGATTTGATGCAATTTTCCTCAAATTCGTCATGCGCACACCGCCCATGGCAGCAGTACTTGTACAGCGGCGTACTTAATCCGTTCGCAAAGTTAACCGTGGACCTCTTTTTGAGAGTTTGCCACATCCCTCACACAGCAGTTCTGCTGTTGCTCAGTCGTTTCCGCGTCTGGTATAATGCTATGCTTTGTGACAGGGATCTGCTGACGGAACAAACTTCTCTTCGCCAGTGAGCGTGCTGCGTACCCCTGTCTCTCTCTCTTTAGGAGGACGGTGGACGACGACGCCAGACAAACTTCTCTACAGCATCCGAAACCATGCTCAAAACACCAAGGACTCTGAACAATTCAACAGACGTCGGTGGCGCTGCCGTATTGCGTGCTATTCTTTGCTGGCGCGGGGAGTTGATTGGTTGGGGGGCAACCTTGTTGTGTGTTTGTTGTGGGTACTCGAACTTGGGGCAGTGACACACATCGATCGCTGCAGGTTGGACTGCTGCTGTATCGAACCGCATACACATGCAACATGGTCGTCCACGTAATGCCCTTCGCGCAAAAATCGAGACATCAACGATAACGAACCAAGCTTTTGCTCCTCTCATAGCCTCGTGTGTTGTCCCAGACAGCAGAACGTTCTGGTGGTAAATATCTGACAACTCCTGCACGATAACCAGGGGAAGCAGGCTACAACCCGATGGCGGGGGCAGAACAAAAGACATTTTCTTCTCCGCCCCCCGCGACACAGGAAATCGATCTGCCTGCTGTACATCACATGGTCTCACCAAGAGTATCGCGACACTGCCTCTTCAGGTTTGATTGCCTCCTTGGGCAGTCCGTCGTAATCTTGGTCAGCGCGCGAACCACGATAGCTTCCATCCTGCTACCACAACGAACCAAGAGACGCAGCTAGCCTCCTCTCCTGCCTCCTGCTTCTGTTTCCAGCGAGCACGCAAGGTGTGCGGCGGAGCAAAAGCTTCCAGTGCACAATCGCCGCCAAGTTGCGTGGTGCTTGGGGGCGCAAGTTGCGTGCGCACGCGCTGGTGCGCCGTTCAGAGAACTACCCTCCTCAGACAGCCCTCTGTTAGCTCGCTGCTCGTTCTCTCCGCTGCCCACGCCAACCACGCGAGCAGGCAAACAGACTGCTCCAGAGCAGAGTGCGACGGGGGCACCCCAGACAGGAAAATAGGGGGGGTGGCTCCGTGATTGCGGCGTGATAGGCAAGCTCCCCGCGGTCTCCGTTCTCCATGTTCATATCTCGCTCCTCTCACCAGCGGTACATGGTTACATAACAGCGCCACAAGCTGCGCGAATTAACCTTGTCATGCCAATCGATGAAGCTGTCGTGCCCTCGATTTCTGCTTTGTCGCCCTCTGGGCGTCTCCTGGCATTCGCAGCAGTAGTTGAACAAGGAGGTATTGACAGCAGCGGAAGCAAGTCTGCTGCTTTCGGCGAAGCGCAGCGTCATCAGGATCAGCAACAGCAGCACCACCTCGAAGGCGGAAACAACGACGACAGTCGTGCTTCGCCCGCCCTTCCGCAGTACCAAGTGGTAGTCACGAGTAGCAACGGCGCAGAGGAGCACCAAACCTCGTCTACAGCAGCGGTTGCAGGTCGAACTTGGAACGATGGCTGCACCCCGATTCTCGCCGCCAACAGCAGCGTTGATGTGAGCACGTGCCCCGTCAAAGCGCCCGTCACGGCGCTACAGTGGATGGACGACTGCAGTCTCGCGTGCGGCTTGCAGGACGGAACCGTCACCATCATTATCGCAGACCGCCGCCGCCGTCGATCAGACCCTAACCCTAACAACGATGGCCGTTTATTAGAACATGGCCTTGGTCGGGGAGAGGCTTCGACTTGGACACCGGCTCTATCTCGCTGCTTCCACCAAGTGCAGCAGCACGGAGGCGGGGGTGCTGACAGCAGCAGCGCGAGGGTGATGCGCATCCGACTTTCGGGCGGTGGGATCGCGGGTGGGGAGGCTGCTGCGGCGAGCGGCGCTACGCGCGGGAGCGAGCCGACCTTGTGGGTGCTGTACCCAGATCGAGTCGTCGTGTGTGTTGGAGTGGACGCCGTGGTGACCTATGCTAGGTAAGCGAGTTGCGCAGATGATGCGGTAAGAACGAGAGCACCCGTGCCCCTCCCAGGTTGTATCTCGCCTCGTGAACGCTACTTATAACCCTGTTTCTGTGACAAATCTCCGTGCAAGTGCATGCCTTGACACCAATCAGCCTTGTGCGCTGTTGCACCATCACCAATGTGGGAGGAGCGTCAGCTTGTATTGGGGTTTGGAGAGTTCTCTCTCATGACGATCGATCTGCATCTGTTTGCGAGTCTACTTAAACGCTTGCTTTTGGACAGCGACCATGAATTGTGTGAAGTGGCAGGCAGGGAGCCACCCGCACTATACAACCGCGCATCCATCTCACACCCCATTATCTGTATTACAGGCAACAGTGGAGATTCAAAGTGCCCACAGCCCACCCCACTACCCCCGTACAGGCAACAAACGAAAGAGAACCAAACCGGTTCTCCGTTACAGCACCAGATCTCCTCCTCGAGAGGAACAACCGACGACGACAACGCCTCGCTCCACAACGACCAAGACAACCCGAACCCCCTGGCGGCGGGGCCGTCCTTCGCCAAGCTCCAGCTAGAGGGGCAGGGCGAAGTCCTGGACGTGGTGGCGTGCGCCGCGCCCTCAGGGCTGTTCGAGGTCCGTTCCGAGCGGCACTCCCACGTCATCCTCGCCTCGGGCGTCTCCCCAGCCCTCGCCTTCTACCCCATCGGGTCCGAGTCCCGCTCGTTCGGGCTCGCGAGCATTGCGTGGGCCGTCGCGTCGCGGGTAACGTCGCTGACGGTGGGAGCCCTCGACGGCCTGTTCGGCTTCGTGGGGCTCCGCGGAAGGGGTAAGAAGGCGGTGGGGGGGGGGGGCAGGGCCAAGGCCCAGGGCAGGAGAGGGGCGAACGGCGGTGGAGGCGAAGACAAAGACGGTGGCGGGGAAGACCCTTCCCCGGCGCCCCTCGTGCTGCATTGGGACGGAGGGCTGCAGGACGGGTGGCGCAGGGTGTCGCGCCTCTTTCTGGGACCGTCCGGGAGGCTCGCGGCCGCCGCGGATGGGTTTGGACGTGTCATGCTCGTCGACTGCGCCACCCGGCAGGTATGTCTATCGACGTTTTCCACAGGAGAGGGTTGGAACCTTTTTCTCCGCTTATGAAACCTTTTTGGTTTCGTGTTTCGGGCTTGAATGGAGTGTAGATTTTTTATTTTTTTGGTCCCCGCGTGCCACCATCGTGCACTTGTTTCGGTTCCAGCTCGGGCGCGTCGCCGGCGTGGTGACCTATCATGGTCTTTGCACCAACCTGTCCTACCCTTCCGAGCACACTTCTGATATACTCTATTGTTGTCCTTGTCTTTCAGATCCTTCGCATGTGGAAGGGCGTGAGGGACGCAGAATGCGGGTGGCTGGAGGTTGTGGAGTCCTGGGAAGGACGTCGCGTCGAGTCGGTTGGACGGAAAGGCCGATTCGCCGCTACCGCCGCCGCCGCCGCCCCGGCGCAACAGCCGGGAGAATCGGTGGCGGCAACGACGCCCGTGGTCGGCCTCTACCTCGCTATCCTAGCGCCTCTGCGCGGCCGAGTCGAGCTTTGGCGGATGCGGCACGGACCGTGCGTGAGGGTCATCTCCGCACCGGCCGGCGCTAGGCTGTTGACTTCTCGGCCGAGTCTGGCTGCCCCGTCTGGCGATGGTGGTGTCAGCGTGGACGCCACCGGCAAGGGGAGACACGCCGAGGCGCTGACGAGCTGCTTTCTTCTCACTGGCGGTGCGGGCGGGTCTGAGGAAAGGAAGCTAAGGCTTAGCCCGCTCATGGTCGAAGAGGAAGATCTGGCCGATCTGCCGAACAGGTGCCTGGCCTTGAGCTCTCGCACGATCGTCTGATGTGATCCGAAGTCATTCCTTCGAGTGTGGGAATTCTCGCAGCCGATTTGGCCTGGGTATCGTCGTCGACGGCTGATTCGAAGACGGGGTAGACGTAAGAATTCTCATATGCTTAATATTCTAGTCCGCGCGCGCCCTATCTTCCACTGCTGTCGCGAGGCAGGCATCAAGTTCGAATAACGTTTTCTCACCCTTCGGAGGGTTTCCTGTGACTTTCGCACGTGCCATATAACAGCTGTGAGGTGATCTTCGATTCTCTATCGCAACACGTGTGTGCCGTGAAAACCTTTCCTGATTTTTGAAGGCTGTCCCGTGAGCCGACCGTTGATGACCCCTATCGACTCCGGAAGCTCGCAGCCGCCGTGGAGGAAATGAGAACCCACGGGACCACCTCCCGCGCTGGACGGGGACAACCACGGGGAACTGCTACTACGCTAGACGTGGCCGGGGAGAGAGGGCGGCTGCCGGCTGGGCAGGAAGCTCGCGAAGATGTCGTCTTTCAGCTGCTGTCACGTCTTGAGTCGGTCGAGTCCCTCGCCCAGGCGACCGCCTCGCTCGGTCCGGCGATTCCGAAACCGTCGGCAACATCGCCGGACTCGACATCCGACCGCGCCCTCGAGCTAAGCGCCTCTTTCCAGAGGAGAGTCTCCGCTCTGTGCCGCGAGCGCGCCGAGCAAGCAGCTGCGGGCGCGGAGACCGATGGTTCGAAGGACAAGGCTGCTGCTGCTGTTGCTGTTCCTCCCGCGGGGAACAACAAGTCCGGTGCAGCCGCGGCAGCGGCACTCCGTTTCCGCGCTGCCGCTTTCGAGCTCTACACCGTGCTCGAGTCCGTAGAACTCAACCCGGCTGGGGGGGACGAGGACGACCCGGCGTTTTTAGCTCCCGGGAACCGGGGATGGAAGCACGGCGTCTTGTGCGAGGAGGCCGCCGGCTGGGCAGACATGGTGCGGGAGACGGGAGGAGGAGCGCCGTTGCCGAGCGCCGAACTTCCCGACTTTCAGGTGCGTTTCGAGCGCGGGATATACCGTCGGAGCTTGTCCCATGGGGTCGGGTGGGCGTTTTTCCTGGGCGATTTTCATCCCGACGGGGCCGGGGTCGGTCTGTAGAGAGCCCGTTCGGAAGTCGTTTTTTTTGCGTACGCGAAAGTAAGCGACGTGATTCCGCAGTGTATTGCGTTGCTTCTGGCCCGGCAACACCTTGTTTTTTGCCGTGACAATGACGAAGCACGCAGTCCTGGAGCTGTGCTGCGTTGCCTCCACTCGATTATAATAGGGCACCATCGCGTGGTTGGGTGAATGACACCGGCGGTTTGCACCAACATCGAGCGCCATGAGGGTTTCCTTGTGTCTTTATCGCTCTTGGCGGCCGGTGTTGTCTGCACTATGGCTTTCCCTTCTTGAAGAAGGCGAATCGTTGGCTCTGGCGATGGTCGTAAGTTCCTGCAAGACGAGCGGGCACCGCCATTGGAGCCAAGTGCCCTTTCGTTTCTTCCCGCCTTGGCAGCAGGCAGTCACACCCCCTGGTCATTGCACACCCTAGTAGAATATGGCAACAGCAGAAGTGCCACCCCACCGCGCCATCACTCCCTTTGTCACTCAGGCGCGGCGCAATACCACATGACAGAACACCAAACCCCGAGACATTGATATAATCTTGTTTTTTTTTGCCCTCCTTAATATGCGTCGCCACGGGAGCGCCGTGTTGCCATTTATGACGCACGTTCTTGTACGACCGACGCGGTATGTCGTCCATGTCCAATGCCCGGTTACGCCACGCAGGAGTTCCTCGAAACCGTCGCGGTGGTGCTCGAGGTGGCGGAAGAACCTGCGGCAGGTTCTCGGCGCGTACCGCGCGGCGGCAGAGACAGATCACCGCCATTGTTGCGGTTCGTGGCGCCCGGTCACCGAGATCGGGGACCCTCGATTGGCGGCGGTGGCACCGGGTCTCGTCGGACCAGCCGAGACTCTACGTCTTCCGCCGAGTCCGCCCGAAGGTCGTCGTCGTCCTCTGCGGCAGAAGAAGCCGGCGGCGCTGCCGCTGCTGCTGCTGACTACGCAAGGTGCAGGACGCGGCTGTTCGGCTGGCTGTTCCGACCACTCTTGTCCGACGCTTTCGCGCTGGCCTCCTTGACGCAGGCGTTGTCGCTGCTGGGGCTAGGCGGGGGCAACGGCCAGGCGGCCGTGCTTGTCCGGGACCTAGCGGCGTGGTTCCTGGAGCTGCCGGTCGGGCGGGCGGCGGACACGACGGTGGGGCGGGAGGCTCAGAACTGCCCGGTGCTGCGGTGGCTCAAAGGGGTCATTCTCGCTTGGGCGTCGTCGTCGACTAAGCGGTCTACCGCCGACGGCGGGGAAGATGGCGACGACGGGGTGTCGTTTCTTGACCGCGAAACGGCGGCGCCCCCTGACACAGAGAGTCGGATGAAGGATCTTTTCGGGGACCCGGTGGTCAGAGGCCGAGGCGTTATTGTTGCCGGTGGGACGGACGACGCCGACGGCGGCGAGGCCGCGTCTAGCGCCGGAGTTAGTAGCGCTCAGGACGAGCAAGAGGGGAGCGACGGAACCGTTGGCGATGACGACGACGAAGATCGAGAGGCGGAGGAGGGCGGCGAGAAGGATGCGGAGGAGATCTTGCGGCCCATGTTCGAGGCGTGCGCCGCGTCTCAGCGGCTGGAGAACGCCTCCATGCTGTCGGTGGTCACGGCCGAGGCGCTGGCGGCGTGCCGCGAGAAGCTGGAGGAGAGCTCCCTGGGGCAAGTCGCCATCGGCGGCGGCGAAGCTTGGGTGACCCTTGCGAGGAGATTGCGCCTGTGCTTGTTCCTGGACCACCGTCTTCACTGGGGAGTGTTGGCGGGGCAAAGGTGAGGATGAGAGCCTGATTGGGGGGGGGCGAGAGGAGACAAGCAGTCAAGCCTATGAGAGATATGAGTTGCGAGCGCTTTTTGTTGGGGGGAGGTACGTTTGAGAATTTTCCGTCGGTTTAGGCTTGTGGGCTATCTTGCGCGGTCTGTAGTGCGTCGTGCTCGCTCTATGTGGTCTACGGATCTTGCGTAAATTGTGGAATATTTGCAAGGGCAAAGACCATGCGGCACAGCAGTTATCGAGGGCAAGTCGGTGTTTGTTGTCCTTTCAAGGGGTTAGACAAACGAGTGTTCGGCGCCAATGACGCGTGCCCAGCTCGGCCTCTCCTTCACCCGCACCGTGTACACGCACCCCGCGTCCGACAACATGCGACCGGCTCTCCTACTGTTCGTATCCCGCCGCACCGCAGGGACCGCGCGTCCTTGCGCCGGTTCGAGGAGGGCAAGGCCTCCGTCTACGCCTTCGTGGCCAAGGACCAGCTCATGTCCTTCCGGGACCTGAGCTTCGCGGCGTGCTCGGCGCGAGAGCGAGGAGAGGTGGAGGCATCCGCGCGGAGCCAGCGAGAGGCGGCGGAGGAGGCGAAAGCTGCCGCTGCCGGCGGTGGGAGGCAGCTGGTGAGGGGCGAGCAGCGCCGCCGCCCGTCGGCGCTAGCCGGTGAGGACGGAATCGGCCATGCGGTGGCGGCCGCCTCGAGCTTGGCAGACGCCCAGATGGATGAGCACTGGAGAGCGGTGAGTCTCGTCGTCGTGGGTACATGCATGGAAGGGGTTGTTGGTCGCCACGAACCACTCTTGGTGGTGAACAAATGCAGCCCGAAGAACGTGTTCGGAGAGGCGTTAACCGTGGGCTTGGGGGGCGGTCAACGTCACAGAACGTGTCTCAGTTTGGTACCCGTCCGCCCGAGGTCTCTGCTAACGCCTTGGGCATTGGTTGGCGTAGAAACGCTTGAATCCTCGACCGACATGGCTCTTTCTAAACCAGTGACGTCACCAGGGGGCACCACCTCAATTAATGTTACACCTGCGAGTCGCCCTCCGGCGTGACTCTTTCTTCACCTCATGTGGCGTCGCCTATGACGTCATCCGCAGCACCTCAATTTCCTTGTTCACCCCGCCTCTGCTCCCACTCTGATGTGAACGTTTTTCAGGTGCAAGCCGTGGCAGCGCGCGCCGGTAATTCGCCGATGATGGCCGCCCTCGGAGGCGTTGTCCCGGCGGTTGCTGAGCCACGAGCAGGACCAGGGGGCAACCGGGAGAACAAACCCCGGCGCGATGAACAGGCGTCGTCCCCTAGGGGTCACAGCCATCGCAAGAGCGGTGATGGAGCTGGCGCCGCGGAAGGATCAGTCGTGCTACCCGGGACCTTCCCCGAGTCTCCTCCCACATCCCTCTTCTTCATGCGCTCGCACGCACAGCCGATCGTCCTGGCCTGCCACCGTACCCGGTGGCTGGTGCTGTCGTGGGCATCCACGGGGCCCCGGTCCGAAGAAGCTCTGCGGCGAGCGGCAGACCGGGGGGCTCTGTCGGAGTCGGTCGGGGCAACCGAGGCGGCCGTCCGGCGCCTGTCCCTTGCCGTGGACCACCTGAGCTACCTCCGGACCGCGAGACCTCTCCTGGCCGGGTGCGTGGCGTACTGGCTGTGGGAGCACGGCGGGGTGCGCGCGCACGTTGGGAGGCTCGCGAGGGGGTTTTCTCCCACGAACGGCGGCAGCAGCGATGGCAGCGGCAGCGGGAGCATTGGCGGCAGGGGCGGCGGGAGCAGCAGCGGTGGTGCCAGCAGCGGCGGCGGTAGCGGGGGAACTGTACATCAGGATGGAAATACCGCTGTCGGTGGCGCCGTCGGGAGTGGGTTGGTGAAGGAGGGCCGGCCGGCAAGGGAAGCCTTCCTGGCAGCCGCGGAGGAGTTCCTAAAGGTAGAAGCTTTGTTTTCGGGGCGCTATGACGGAGCGCGGGGCGGTGCCGGCGGGAGCAGGGGAGGGGCCGGAGGAAAGGTTCTCAGCTCCGCCGCCGACGTGTCGTTCATGTCGCTGCTTACGGAGGGGGCGGTGCAGCGCTGCCCCTGGCCCGGGGCGTGGGATCGCTGGGTGGAGGAGTGTCTTCGAGATGCCCAGGCAAGTGGCGCGGCGTTGTTGTGACTCTTTTTCTCGCGGAAACAAATAGGGAAACCGCGGAACCCTGCTGTGGTACAGAACAGTTCATAGTGGACGTTTTTCGTGGCGGTTGCGATGTGCGGCCTTGCCGAAGGACGATTACATACACGCACGGGCACACGGATGACGAATCTCGAATCTAGGGTTGACTAGATATCTCGTCCCGCTACTGGCGGCCGAGATGGCGGCGGTTGTGCAGTCAGTGACCCGCTCCCTGAGTTTATCGATGCTTGTCTTACCCTAGCTTGTATTCCCGCCGTCATCCCCCAAACAGGTGCACCCTCCTCTGCAAGCCGCGGTGGCGGCCCATTCGACGCTGCTGCGCGCCCTCCGGGTTAGCGCCGTCTGCGGCTTGCCGGAAGAGGACACGCTGGGGCTATTCGAGCAAGGGTGAGCGCAGGATGTGCTCTACCCGCCAACCCGTGTGATGTTGAATTGTTGTGTGGAATAGCCGTGCACGCGGTTTGTGTGGATCTGATTTGGGATGGTGTTGGTGGAGGGGTTGGAGGGAAAACTTGCCGGATAAAGAGACGTTGCTGTCGTGTCAGTTGTCGGAATGCGTGTCTGCCGCCTCAAGCGGGAGGCTTTCGGATCGTGCATACACGCTCAAGCGAATCGCGAACAAATTGTCACGATAGAAACCCTTCCCTGGGTAACCAGACACGAAAGTGCTCTTGTTGGTGCAACCGTTTTCGCGTCTAGCACAGAACAGTGTTCCAAGAACTAGAGGTAGAGGCTAGACACACAACGACAGCAGAGCTGCATAGCGATAGAAGACGAGCAGAGAACCCAACAAACACGCGAACGCCAAAGATATAGCAACTGAGTGAACGGCAACGAAAACATCGTTTTTTTTCAATAACGGCATCAAGTAACGGCAGCATCGACGCCGTTTTTTTCAACTCCAACAAAAAAAAACGATGGCGTTTCTTCCCTCCCTACGACCGTCCGTCCGTACCGTGCGACAGGCGCAGCCTCTGCGCGGACTCGTCTCTGTCTGACGAAAATCTTGCCTCGCCGGCTGTTTCTGGCGGAGACCGACGTACGGCGGTAGGCGCCCCCCCCCCCGGCGAGGGTGTGCAAGGAGAGCGGCACGTCGTGGCCCAGAGAGAGTCATACATTCGGCGCGCGTTGGATGCCGTGGTTCCGCGTCCGGCCCAAAACGTCTACAGGTGCGGGTGGTTTTTCAGGGCGAAGGAGGGGGAAAGGAATTGCAATGGGGGGCGACTGTCTCGACGTGGATTGAGGCACAACCTCATTGCCGGTTTGAAGCGAGTACCCCCGTGAAAAGACCTCTGGTATGGACACTCCAGAAGCCTAGGGCAGTATCTTGTGCCGTCGCTTCATAGGGCCGTTGGGGATGGCTTGAAGGCTTGTTTTGTGGTCAGCCCCTTCCGCACGTTAGTGACGGTTGGAGAGCGTGCGGGAGTTGCGGCGCGAATTGATCGAATACAAGTAACGACGCAGACGCAACCCTTGCAAGCCCCGGCGGTGCTCTTCCCTGCCGTCACTGCGCGTGCTCCCAACTCAGGCTGGCGCGGGACTTCGGCGTGTCAGAAGACACCGTGCGCGGGTGGCACTGCCTGGTGTTGCTGAGGAGGGGGCATGACGTATTGGGCGAAGAGGCCTTGTCGCAGGTACGTTTGTTGGCCTTCGCCTGTCCTTTCACAACCAGCCGTGGCTTGCACTGCGGGGTGGCTGCGGTAGGTACCTCGAAATCGGAGTTTTCGTTCAAGGCCTATCAGAATCTTCGACGCCTGGAGGAGTAAGTTGAATGGCGCAGATCAACAGACTTGGCGACACGGTGCACCACCTTATCTCCAACGGGATCATGGAACACTGGTCAACATCGCAAGGCAACCACAAGTCCACCCCCCCCCCCCTGGTACCCTCTTCTGCTAAATACTCAGATCTTCTCTCTGCAAGACCTTGCGGGAGACATTCTGACGGTCATGCGCCTCCGCCTGAAGCGATTCTTGGACTTCCTGGAGACCTCCCCGAGCGCGTCGAGGGGGCTCCTGGCCAGCCTCGATGCCGACACGTGCCGCTGGGTTCGCTCTGCGAGATACCCGGAGGCTAGGGAGAAGGGGCAGGGGGGCGTGCAGTCGGAGAAGGAGGCGGGAGAGCCCCTGCGGTCGACGCACGGGGTGCTGCTGTGCCTCGCCAGAGCGTTGCCGAGGGAGTCGCGGCAAAAGGTGGGTCGAAAGGGCGGGATCGCTCAAGCTGAGTGTGTCAACTGATTTTTGGAAAAACATGCGGATGACAAAAGCGTTGCGAGTTGGCGCTTTATTGCTGCACACGCACGGCAGCCAGAACCCTCAGCCAACCAGCAGTTACCTGTGTGACTGACATTGGTCTCTCTCTCTCGCCCCCCCCTCCATGCGCGTTGAACTTGCTCGGACCCTGCACTACGACTGCCTCCATGGCCATGGCAACCACCGGCCTCCTGGAACATCTGAACGGCGGTGCTGCTTGCACGGCTTTCTTGGCACTGGGAAATTTCCTCCGGCGCTGGTTGCTTACGCGTACCGTTCCTCACAGCTCCAGGCAGACGCGCTAGTGGCATTGGTAGGCACTATGCTCCGGCACATGGGCGGGGCGGGAGCTAGTGGGGCGGGATACCATATGTAAACGCCTGCCGAAGAAGTTGTCATGAGGGGTTATTCCTATGTGAAAAACGACAGTTTTGGTGCGGGTTTTCAGCCCGTCTGAGCGCACACACACTTTTTGTGCACGCAACATCCCGGGATGGCGTAAGCGTGTGTGCGCCGAATTACATTGTCGAAGGTGGGGCGGCGAGCAGGTCGCTGGTTTTGTCCTGGTCCTCTGGCAGTGTTTTGGTGTCTTCCCAGGTGTCGTTTTGACGAGGACACTGTACCGACGCCCTTTCGCGAAATACGTAGCCAAGACGAGAGCCTAACTGTGTTGGGCGCAGACGATACACTGCGGTCATCATCCCGCACCATTTTGTCTAAGCCGTTGGTACTGCCGTAGGCCCCCCCACAGGCTGAAGCGATTGAATAATATAAATAAGTGGGGTAGGTTTTAGGGGTGCGCAGGTACGGGTGGCTCAGGTGCAAAACGACCGCCTGCATTCTTTCTGCTGTATATATTCGTTAGTTCCTATCAATTCCTGTTGGTGAAGTATGTGTGGCACGGCTGTGTTGTTGGTGGAGTTAATGGGGGGCTAGGAGTTGCGTGCGCGTTTGCTTCGTAGATTTTGGCGGTGTTGCCGAGCACATGGACGACGCCAATACTGGTTGTTGCGACTTTTGTTAGTTTTTTTTCGCCGGAGGCTCCTCTTGAACCTGGGAGCACCCCGCTCAAAGGAGGCGTTTTCGTGGTGGAAAACTGACAGTCAAGGGGTCGTGCGCTTCTGGAACTATCTTGCACTCCACGCAACGCAGTACGCCCTGCTCTAGGCGTTGTGTCTGCATTTGTGTTTGCATGACTGTGTTGTACGCTTCCTACAGCAGTAGCTTGAAGTTAACTAACGATGCGAAAACACGCAAGCTGTCCCTTCTGCAGCTTCCCCGAAGCTGATGCCAATCCTCCTAGAGCTCGTTTCCGCCCGGACTTCCCCCCAAGCTAGAACGGAGGAACAGCAAGCACGAGCACAAGTGGTGCATCAGCGCTTCAACTGCAGGCAGCTCGCAAGACCCTGGTTTGTCCAGTTGTCAGTCTGGACACCTCTTGTTCGTGTGAGCCAACAATGCCCACCGGCAAGCTCCTACCACGAAGAAAGCGGGCTGTTGCCGAACACGCTTTGCTCTCGGTTTTCACATTTTTTTTTTTTATGGACCGAAAGATAAGACGGAATCAGCGAAGTCAACCAGAGGCGCGCCAAGATGGACAAGGCTGCCGTCGTGTGCACATTATTGTAGTCTTCAGGTTCTGCGTTGTCCCTACAAGGCGCTGCATTTTTTCGCAGAAAGAGCTGTGGCTGAATACACCCTCGCAATCTACGACCTCTGTTGTCGTTGTTGTTGTGGTGGGGGTGGTAGTTGCGCCGCCGCCGCCGCCGCTGCTGGTGCTGCTGCCGGAGCCTCAAAACTTGAACTTTACTCGTTTGTCTTCGTTGATCACCTCGTAGCACTTCGAAGACAGCGGGCAACAACACGACACAGCGTGACGGGTACAATTCAGCGTGAGGGAGCACAAGAGATGTAACAAAGGAGGCAACACGCTAAGTACACTTGAAATGAAACCTCACCTAGCGCAATGCCTGCATGCTCTACAGGCCTCATGTCTTTCGGCTTGTAGGTGAAAATTGGGTTAACAGGTGAAAACTGATTGTTCCCCGCTTCCGGCCACCCTTTTAGCAGAACACTTGAGCGGAGTAGGCCTACAACAAAGTCCTCAACGATAACCATCTCCAAGATATTCCAACGGCATTGTGGTGGCGAAGCCACACGCAGGACTCGGAAGAATTACACCGCTTAGCGTACAACACTCCTACATACATGCGTACGTTTCCCCAACAAACTCTGTGAAGAATGCTACCTGCTGTTACCAGACAGAGGCAAAAAGTGGGCTTGCAGCGAGTAGAAGCGAGCGTCTGCTAAACGATGGATCGGGATACATACCTTGTAGAGCTGCGTGGAGTTTTCAACCCTGACTTTGAGCGTGATGCTCGTGTATTTGCCCTTCTCCCGCGTGGAGCACTTGATGACGTTGTCCTCGCCGTTCGTAAGGCAGCCCGCCACCGCCTTTCGTATGTCGCTCACGAACGTGTCGTCGTCGACGCCGATGATCTTGAGATCGAAACTACCCGGGTACTGGGAATCCACACCAGCAGGGCAAAGATGACTAATTATTGAAAATTGTGCGCAAAACCGGTGCAGGATATGGTGGCAAAAGGTACTCCGTAATAACTTGCAGCTACCCTTTACCGTTGTAACGCTACTGCTGTACGAGTCTGCACATCGTGGGGCAAATTGATCAGCACCGCTGCTGCCGTTGTAGCAAGCAAGACTCGGCAAACGAGAAACTACCAGCCGTAGGCGTATTTATCCACACGACGGGGGGAACGGCAAGTGGTTCAAAACATTGCATGTGGCTCACACACCCATTGCTGCTGATAGTCCCATGACGAAAAGATGGTCCCTCTCCCCGTGGGTGTTCCCAAACATGATCCCCGCCAAACGTCAGGAAAAGTGCCGCGCTTGGGTGACATGTTTCAGCGTTTCAGCACTTGCCGAGGCGGTGGTGCGCCGACCAGGATGAGCATGTACAGCTTACCTCAACCAGTGCGTCCAGCACCTGGAAGTCGCCGACAGCAGGGTTATCGAACTTGGAGCTGCCGTCCGGACCCTCCTTCGCCAGCAGCTTAGACGCCGCCTTGTCCGCCAGAGGCATCAATGATCTGGCCTGTCTCTTAGCTGGCCCTGTATCCTGAGGTGGCTTATTATTGGCAGGAGGGGGTTTTGGTTTGTCCCCAAAGCCCTTGCCGGCAGCTATGCAGAGCGTCCTCCTGTGGAGGCATGCTGTTCTCGGCAGGGAACCTCTGGCCAGGAATGCTGGCACCGGCTGAGCGAGGGTGCTCAACAGCATGATAGCCCTCACCACTGTTGCTGTTCGGCCTGCTGGTGTCATTGACGCTGTCCGCGAGTCTACACGACACTAGTACCCAGCAATTGTTGGATGAAACGGGGGCCAGAGACGTGAGAACCTCGAACGACGACGAGCCTCTGGTCAGGCCAAACAGATTACCCCTTCCGACGTGGAAGAGAGACGACAGTAGTGACGACAGGCCTACAGAGCATCTCACACTGGCTGGAGACTGGAGACACGTGGGCGCGGGGACAGGGGGCCACCAGACCGGACCACCGCACACCCACCGTATGGAGCACGGGACTGTCACCTTGATGGCATGATGGCATGATGGCATGTGTGATACTTGGACTATCCAATGTGATACTTGGACTATCCAATCAATGTGATACTTGGTCTTCGGGTTCTGTTGATGACCCAATTACCCAATCAAATGCAGAGCAGTGCGGCTCTGCACTACCAGGGTTCTGCGCTAGGTTCGAGGTTCTTGTCTCTTATGGATGCTTGATAGACTTTGCGGATGTGTCGTCGAGGAAGGGAACGGACAGATAGCTGTTGAGGGAAACTTGTTGTTGATTCGTCTCTCGGCGGCTGCTGCACTCAACCCAGCTGCATGCATACCAACACTGCTGTTGCTGTTAACCTATCCACGCACACACATGCCAAACTCAAGCTCTGCCTAGATCTCTGCAACCGAACTGGTACTCAACACATGCCCACTTGACCTTTACCCTTGCCCGGGAGCTCTCTCTTCTCTGAACTCGTGGGGTCGACTCAGAGCCAACTTCATGCGAACACATACATACGTCATCTCGGAGAATAGCTAATTACGCCGCATCTTAACGCCAACACACGAGAAAGCGGGGATAAGGTCCAAACAGCCCCTGAAACGAGCCTACTTCGTACCACATTCCCCCACACTGCTTTTTGGCATATTGGGAAATATTCTATATATATCTCCAAAAAGCAATCCAAAACATAGTGAATTCCCCACGAGAAACCGGCGTCCAGTACTATTTCCATACTGAGACTAGTATAGTCTCGCTTGCATCAGCGCTAAATGTTCAACAAAATTCCTAACGTCAACATTTATCCGTCTCGACCGCCGTGGCAAGACAGCAATATTCAAAACCCCATGGAATTCGCTCCATTCTAAGCGGGAACTCGTTTACACTCCCGACCCAAACCCTCAGCATTCCATCCCCTTGGGCCCAAGTACCCCCACACAAACTACCATACACGAATTCCAAGAAAATTCTTCATCATCCTACCGTCTGCCGTCAAGAATCCATTTTACCCCGTGCCGCGCTGCCGTGTTTTGGAAACGACAACCGGCACCAACCCCCAAAAATCCCGGTCCAACAACCTTTAACCTCACTTGTTAATACCTGATCACTATGAATGCTACTGAAAGAAAGCATGTCCCCGGTAAGAAAGACGCCGTACTCACCCCTCAGAAAGGCGGCAACGAACCCCTGTGACCCCCCCTCAATCGGACATTGGACTGTTGAAATCGGCGCTACCCGACGGTGCACACCGACCCCCAAGAGGACTCCCAACAACTAAATCAATCGCTTCATGTTATTTTGTGATCACACCCCAGCTTTATGAAGCTATGAAATCCACCCGAGACACATACATCAACGATCCTTTGACCAATTTTCTCCCCACGCGTGTCTGATATACGCGCACTCTCCCAACGCAAGGTTGAAGCTGAAGCTGAATTTTTCACATATACACAGCACATTGACAAGGACAAACATAGACACAGCACTTGACAAGGACAACAGCACTTTGACAAAGATACAGCACATTTTCAGCTTCAGCTTCCTTGCGGAATATTACAGGAGAGCAGACCTTGGGCGGTCTTCGGGGAAAATAAAAGCCAACGAACCTTGCTGTATTGCCTACCCTGGGACTCCAAAGTTCACCGAAGAATGAACACCGTGAGAACGATATCATCGCGTTGAAAAAGAGCTTCAAATCTTCCTGCCCGACATCGGTGGAACCACAACGGGACATTGACCCCCTATCCTAGATTTAAATCGCACCGACCTTCCCTTTGAGAACGCAAACACTTACGGACATTCGCACCCGCATTGACCACGGTACCAACAAACCAACATTTGACCAGAACCCCTCGAGGCGGGACAGCCCACCAATGTTTCCAGTAAAAACGCAGTTTCTACCGAACACAGGCTATTTTTGAATGGCCTGTACCTCTCCCCCCCATCCTCCCGAAAAAGGACGCCACGTCGCTACCAAGACACCAGAGCCAAACAGCCACAACCGACACACCACACCGGAAAAAAAAAACATCATCGGCATCAGAAGGCAACACCAAAGACAAAAAATCCGGAACACACATCACGCAGAAACAGAAAAAAAAAAAAAAAAATGGCGATGTTGTTCGTCTCGCTTTCTCCTCCCGTCGCGAAAAAAAACAATCCGCCAGCCTCCGAAGTGCTCTCCGCCTTCACCCTGAAAAATCCTCGACTTGCGGTCTCGCCCTCGCCACCACCATGAAAAGCCCTCCTCCACAGCGCTCTCCTCCACAGCGCTCCCCGACCACCGCGACGCAACCTCCTCCAAAGCGCGCCCCGACCACCACGGGGTCGGCTGTGGGGCGTTCTCGGGCGCCGGTGACGGCGACCGGCCCCGCTAGCACGCTAGGAGCCGGTGTGTCCTCCGTGGGCCCGTCCGGGACGGCGGTGTCGGACCCCGGGCGGTGGCACGACGCGCCGGTCATGCGGCCGAAGCACCGCCGCTAGCAGGCACAGCGGTGGCAGCGGCGGGCTTAGGTACCCCCGCCCGTTTTCGAATCTTCCAGGAAGGACGACGGTTCGCTCGGACACGAGCTTGCCCGAGGCACGACCCCGCGGAGCGGGTGGAGACCGGCAGCACCGGCGTAGCCGGAAATGCCGAGCACGCGTGCAGCAGAACACCTGAGTGAAACTGACCACTGAAAATACGATGGGAAACGGGAGCGGAACTAGGGGCGGGAGACGGGTTAATAGCGAGGACCCGCGGCGCCTGATACCTGACGGTACTGACGCCGCGTTGACGGGATCGGACAGCCAGATTCCACTGGTTCTGCGCGACCTCAGCGGTGGTCAACGGATCTACGGGCTCCATAAACGACCCCAAATCCTCGTGGGAGCAAGGCGGCAATTGCAAGTCCAAGAGAGGGGACAGGCAATTTGCAGCACCCACAAAGTACACTTCTAGGTCACCCTCTATGAGGCGGTTCGGCCCCGATTCATCCTCATAGTCGGGGAACGCCAACGCTGTCGTGCTCATCAACTGTTTGGGAATCGCTCTAGTGGTTTCTTCGTGTTGAGTCGTAAACCGAAATTCCTTGTCTCTTTCTTAGCATCTCGTTGAGACCCCGCACTCGAGTGGCCAAGTTAGGAATAAACTTGCGGAGATACGAAAAACTGCCCAACAGGGAACGCAGCTGGTTCTTATTCATAGGCACAAGCTCATCGCCGCAGCCTTACCACACCCAGGCGCGAGGCCAGTTGGTGTGATGAAATACCCCAAAATTTCCACGTCGGCGGCACCCACTTTCGCTTGCTTGGGAGCGAGTTTCAGATTGGGGATGCGCAACCGTTCCAACAATTACTCGAAATGCACTACATGCTCTGCTGCGAATTTTGAGTGCACCACGATATCATCCAGATACAACTGCACACGCTCCAACCCCCTCACACACCTTGGCCATCAATAACTGGAAGTGGCTGGGCCCACCACGGATTTTGTTTTTGTTTTCTTGTGTTTCTTTGTTCGGCCATCGTTGTTATTTTTTTCGTACCGCCCCTGCGGATGAGATTAGATGTATACTCGCCCGATCGGATAGAATGGGGCGGGCGGATAGCGATGCCGGTGTACTAGATGTAGACACGGCCGCTGGTGTGGCGATGCCTGCTTCACTATCTACAAGATCGGCCAACGGGGAAGCCGACGGCGGGGAACAACTCTTCTCTTCTTCTACTCCGTTGTCGCCCAACCGATTAGTGGGTATTGCGGCAATCACTGGAAGCCTCGTCAACGCGGTGGCCGCTCGCTCCGCTAAACAGTAACTACCCCGGGGAGATGGGCTCACAACCGCCGGCGCTGGCTCGAACGCCGGTTTTCTCGTGGCACCCCGCTTCCCGTGTTTGTCTTATACTACGTTCGGATCGGAGTTCGGTTTCGGATCGGGGTTCAGGCCGGTTTTGAGCCGCAGAATTCTTCGTAGAAGGGCAAGCTGGGATTCCACGGATCAAGTGGACAGCTCCCTCGTCTCTATCGCCTACGACTCCAGGACACAAGACCTGTTCGGCTAAGCTAATTACACTCAACCTCGTACTGTGCACTCGGTCTGTCGGACTCGGAGTCGGCTCGGGTTTCGGAGTCGGCTCGGGTTTCGGAGTCGGCTCGGGTTTCGGAGCTACACAAACTGGTAGCTTCGCCGGTGTTTTACTACTGTCCGACAAAGTAGGTCGAGAACTACAGTGGACGGTTCTCCGCCCCTCTCAGCACTAGAAAGGTCGGAAATCACCAGACGCGTCGGACGGCGGTAGCGACGGTTTCCGCCCGCCCCCACCACTGCAAGGTTCCGACGATTCCGTCACCAAGAGGCGGAAACTCTTGGTGTCGACGTCCTATTTCCCAGAGCAAGAAGGGTGTCTCACCTACCATCTCGGTATCGGATCGCGGAACGGCCCGAACGCCAGCGGATACACGTCCTCGTATGGAGAGGGCGGTATCAATCTCCTCGCGAGCACCGCGCATGGCAGCAGGACGGGCTGCGGCGACAGCACCGAGCTGTGCAGCAGCGGGGTGACGCGTGGAGACGACGCACGTGGCGAAGAGTCGTACTGCAACCGGCAAGATGGGTGAATCCCCCGTGACGACCCGGACGGGCCAATCCCAGGAGATTCGGTAGGAGAGGGAGAAGAGAGACGGGCAATGGGCGTGCCCAAGGAAAAGGGCCTACCAGAACGAGAGACTGGCACGCGACAAGTCGCACAGCCGGAAACAACCGAATTTCGAGTACACATGGCCATGACGCAGACGCAAGAGACTACCAGGTACAGCGGTACTTCAAACCAAAAGCGGAAAACAACGCAAAGATCCGAGAATCTGACCGCGGCCTCTCGCACCCTTCGTAAACGTCCTGGATCCTTCTGAACGACAACACCGCCGTTACGCGCAGTTTGCTGGGGTGGTTTAGTTGCTGCCCTCTGCTGCACCCTCTCACACTTGTCCCAACCCCTATCCCTTCCTACAACTCTTCCCTACCTACCCAACCAATATTTTTGTGGCAGCGTCATGACGACGATGGCGATCATGCGATACTTCTATTACACCGACGACGATTTCATCCCTCTCAAGATCGACAACGACGGCGACCGGTTCTGCTTCAAGTGTCGTCGGGCCTTTTGGAAGGGAGAGACGATCGAAATTATCCCGCCTAACACCGTTGGAAACAGATCGGGGGGTGACAACTACGCCTGGATTGGGAGGAAGTGTCGCTACAGCTGCGACGAGGGAGCACGGGTCGCGAGAGACAGGGCAACCCCCAGGCAAGGCTCTTTACATTTTACGCTTGTATATGCACAGAACGGTTCGAGGATTTTTTCGGGTTCTAGTATGAAAAGGCACACTGCACGAAGATATGAAGAAACTAATCGCGCACACACTTTCACAACGTTGATGTCATTCCGGCGGAGGCACAACTTGTCGCTTGGATCGCATGTACATAGCAGTAGACGTTGCATTGTCTTGTATGTGCGCTTCTCCCGCCACAAAAATAATACGCGCACGGCATTCACAGAAGAAAGGTGACCGTGCGCCCCCCCCCCCCCCGCGTTCGGGCCCCCTCGAGGCTGCCGCCCGCGTTGACGGACTCCGCGAAAGGGTCGATGGGGAGACGTACTTGTTGTACATCTATTTCGAGAGCGGCCTATTATAGACTATGTACACCACCCGAAGAAGTCCTTCTCTAAAAGTCAAGTATGCTGTAGACTACTACAGGATCTACATGTCCCCTGTGCTTCTCCACAAGTGAAGTACAGCAGACTTTTATACATGTCGCCTAATGTGTGCAAAGGCTCTTGCATTCCTTTCTGCAAGCGTACCGTGGTACCGGTTTTCTTTTCAGCGTTCCATGTTTTCGTCCGTTTTTCCCGTGAAATTTGTGGTTCGCTTGGAACGGGCCTAACTTTCAGAAGCGCAGCACCCATCGCGCGCCATTTGAAAGATCACATGTAGTGTGCATCGAGGCACTACAACACTACGTGTCGACCACATTCAACAATGGCGTGACACCATCGCCTCTGCCTGGCGACGAGTAGGTGCCAAAAAGCATGACATTCTAGTGTTGTACCAGGCCGTAAAAAAATACACACGGAAAGAAGAAGGACACCACGAATCCATGAGTGAGCGTGTTTGCGCGTGCTGGGCAGATGAGTGAATGCACGCGCGGTTGTAACACGAATGTGTGCGCGGTGCACAGGGGGGGGAGAGAGAAAGCTGTCGCATCGTAAAAATAATCATAAGTCGTCAAGCTGCACGAGTAGAGGGGGCATGCGCCTGCAGTCTAAGTTCTGGTTCTCGATCGACCACAGACACAAACCACAAGAAAATACAACGAGAGCCCCCGTGCCCTTGCATCCTTTCGGTGATCAAAAATCTGTGGCTTAGGGTCTGCAAAGGGTCTGCAAAGACTGCGTATAGTCAAGAGCAGTTCCCTATTGGCCTGTGCTAGATTGCTCGGTGTGTTCTTTTCAGCGAACATCGGATCTGCTGAAAAGAGTAAAAACAAGATAATTTGTAGCCTGATGATGACGCCAGTTGACAGTCTATATATATGCTCGAGTGATCTGTGCTACGGCGGCGATAGTGCGCCAGGCGGGCGACAGGTATAGAGCACAAAATGAGACAATTTCTGGAACACGCTGAAGAAGCGTTAGCGTTACTATTACTCGCCAGAAAAATGCCATTCGTGCATCAATTTCTGCAGGAAGGAGCCCTTCCTCGTGTTTGGGACGTCGCTAGCCGTCGAACGATGTGTACATCGGGCTGTCTGCACGTCAACGGCGCGGATAGTTGCCCTTCCAGTCGACACACGCTGACGTGTAGTTTGCACATTACATGCGTACATTCGCCTGCCTGCATACACAAACAAAACGCGCGGAGTCCTCTTTTTCCCCCGAAAAAAATACCCCCAAGAAAACACGCAAGTTTTGATGTGAAAGACCTAGAAACACTCACGCGACGGTAGGCTCAAAACAACGACTTCCATCCACACGGTAGAAGTTGGCTCCCTGGTGAAGCCTTGAATCTGCTCGTTTTCACGACTAGTAAATGGTGTAGCCCGGCAGGAACCGGGCAGAACCCCGTCATGTTCGTGCACTACACGCTTGATGATTGATGCGAAACAAACCAAGGTGGTAGCGATGAAGTTCGTGATTAGTGGTACAGCCATCCGTATCCCATTGGCCAGAAATATTTGAGTGGGGCGTGGCAACCTTCGAGGACGAGTGAGGGTCGGGAGAGTTCCGACAGCGTAAGGCCGCTGCACGGGCGCTCCCGGTACCCGTGTTTGTTTCGTTCGGTGCAAAGTATGTGCTTTACTTTGCGGCTTGCTCCTTCGTAGCGAGGCTAATGATGAGCACCGGCCCAAACTCGAGCCTACCATAGAACACATGGTTATGCAAGGTGTGAAAGAGAAGTCTGTAAGCATCTTGAACGTCGGCGATTGTTTTATGTAGTGCACACCTATGAAGAAAGCATGGCATGATACGTACGGTAGAATGTTTCCTCTTTCTCACAACGGTGGTTTGGCCTATCTATCCTACCTAAGCAGACACCGGTCGTCATTCTCGTCGCTAGTCTTTGCTCAGTCTATTTTCACCGCGGGCATGTAGCGTGCGTTGATGAAGAAATAAACAACCCAGGCACGCGTGTAGAACACAAAAAAAAAATAAACAAGTACGTTAACGCCCAAACACGCAGAGAAGTAAGTGCGATCGACACAGTTCTTGTAACAACTGCACAGGACACATGCACCGCGACTTCCATTCGGCCTTTTGCAACGCCACCACAGCAGCAAGCAGTAGCAAGCAGTTGTCCTCCAGCAACGACACAGTCGCCATATCCCTGCTTCCTCCCAAATGTTTGACTCGTTTCGGTGCCCTTCTCCACCCACCCCCCATTTCCTTACACCCGACCGGCGAATGCACCGATTATTGTGACACAGTCCCGGGCGGTTCACCCAGGCGCCGGCGCGTGTTCGAAAGGCGAACGTTGTGCCCTCCCAGCCGTCGATGCCTTTTGTGGACGCGGTTGCTGTGCCCTCCGAGACGTCGGAGTTCATTCCACAGGCGGTAGCTGTGTCCCCCGAGCCGTCGATGCCTGTTTCTAGCACGGGAGTTGCGCGCGCCCAGCCATCGTGGCGTGATCAAGAGACGGTAGTTGTGCCCCCCAAGCCGTCGGCGCCTGTTCAAGAGACGGTAGCTGTGCCGCCCCAGTCGCCGGAGCCTACTCAAGGGACGGAAGCTGCCCCCCCACTGCCGTCAGCGCCTGTTTTCAGCGTGGGAGTTGCAACCCCCCAGCCATCGGGGCGTGTTGTCAGGGGGGCAGTTGCGCGCGCCCAGCCGTCGATGCCTGTTCAAGAGGCGGTAGTTGTGCCCCCCCAGTCGCCGGAGCCTACTCAAGGGACGGAAGCTGCCCCCCCACTGCCGTCGGCGCCTGTTTTCAGCTTGGGAGTTGCGCCCCCCAAGCCATCGGGGCGTGTTGTCAGGGGGGGAGCTGCGCGCGCCCAGCCGTCGACGCTTGTTCAAGAGGCGGTAGTTGTGCCCCCCCAGTCACCGGAGCCTACTCAAGGGACGGAAGCTGCCCCCCGCCTGCCGTCGGCGCCTGTTTTCAGCTTGGGAGTTGCGCCCCCCAAGCCATCGGGGCGTGTTGTCAGGGGGGGAGCTGCGCGCGCCCAGCCGTCGACGCCTGTTCAAGAGACGGTAGGTGCGCCCCCCCAGCCATCGGCGCCTGTTGAAGAGATGGACGTTGCGCGTCCCCAGCCGTCAATGCCTGTTGAGGAGATCAAGCCGTCGGCTCCTGCTGAAGAGGCGGTAGTTGTGCCCCCCCAGCCGCCGGCGCCTGTCGACGAGACGGTAGTTGTGCCCCGCGAGCCGTCCACCCCTGTTCAAGAGACGGTGGTTGTGACCCCCCAGCCGCCGGTGCCTGTTGCAGAACCTCAAGTTGCGCTCCCCCAGCCGTCTGTGCCTGTTCAAGAGACGGTAGTTGTGCCTCCCCAGCCATCCACGCCTGTTCAAGAGACGGTAGTTGTGCCCCCTCAGCCCCCGGCGCCTGTTGAAGAACCAGAGGGTGCGCCCCCCCAGCCGCCGGCGCCTGTTGAAGACACGGAAGGGCAGGCTAGGAAAGGGCTTTTGGCGAGGATTTTCAAGTGGATCACCAGCTGTGTATGCGTATCAGAGGGAGGGTGTCCTACTTTTTAGCTGCTGTCTTTGTGGACAGCAAGCTGGAGTGGGAAGGGAGGGTCCGGGGTCTGCCGACAAATCCTGTTCTCTCTGTCTCTGCTCTCTCTCGTGTTTGTATTTCCTGTGAAGAGAAAAGGGATATCAAGAAAAATCATTGGCAAGCTCGAGACGGAAGTCGGAGAGAGAGATTATTGCGAGCAAGAAATTTATCCCTGCAGCATGATAGCATGGGAGAAACACCAGATGATGCAGCAGCAATGCTGCTTGCTGGTGTTGGGCCTTCTCCTTGAGCTTCGGAAGCAGGACACTGGCTGCCGTCCAAACCCTGCGCCTACCCTGTCGGTAGAACCCATACACTGTGTAAATAAAACAAGTAAAGGCAGGCGTTTTCGCGCGGCGTACTGAATCGCTTTGATTGGTAGTAAAACTGACGTCTCATCATTGGCCGGCCAGTTGGCGCGGTCGATGCAAATAATGAACACACGTATATGCGACAGATAGACCCTGTAAGCGATCTTAAGTTGATATGCCATTTCCTTGGGGTCTCGAGTGCGCACGTGACGCATTGCAGACGTGAAAGAAATTGTTGTTACCCTCCTCTAATCAAGCTCGTCTGTCGGTGGTTTCTTCGATCTTTTCCTTCCATCGTCATGTACAGTATATCTTCCGTAGGTATTGTTTTTTCGCGTTATGCCATCCTTCCTTTGTCGTATCAACAAAATGCGGGCTGCTACCGGCTGCGTGAGGGTACTTAAAAAAATGAAAGCTTTCACCCTGTCCGACCTGTTCGTGTCGCTAATGCTGCGGCAGCTGTCGTATGCCTACATACATACCCCCACTAAAATAGATCGTTACTGGGGCAGAGACGCAAGCGCATCTTGGACGACGAGCCTCCGGTCAAGCTAAACAGATTTGCTTCTGTAGTCTACCCTTCCGACCTGGAAGAGAGACAGAGCATAGCGCGTTATGGGCGCGGGGACACAGGGAGAGGGGGCCACCGGACCCAAGGATCAAAATATCAAAGTGTAGATCAAACGCCCAGCCAACGGTGGAATACACGGCACTGTCACCTTTTTTTCGATTTTTCCGGTTCATGTTTTTTTTTTTGTTAATACTATGACCCAACGAATCTATCTCTTCTACCTAGGAAAAGAGTCTAAGATAGATCAGCAATGAATTCATAGCGTCAGAGAAAGCTACCTGTATTTCCACGGTTTCCCGAGCAGCACACAGCGATATCTCCCCTGTGGGCAACAGGCTCAACAAGACAGTTTGGTAGCCGTTTTGTGCATCTATCCTTATGTTGCTGGCAAGGTGCATGTTTGCACATTATTTGCTACTTGGTGGCTTGGTAGCGTTATATCTACTGTAGTTTTCGTTTGGGACTTGGGACCCAAACAACCAATCAACTTCAAGGCGACGCTGCACTGTCAGGGTTGCTGTCCTGGGTTCGAGGTCCTTGCCTCTATGGAGGCTTAGATCTCGGACAGATGCTGGATGAGGAAACTTGCTGCTGTACCCCACACAGACAGACACAGGTCGACCAACGCTGCTGCTGCTGTCTCAGGTTATCATACCTCACGCACACACTTAAACTTGCGAAACCATGGCACTGCTTCGAACTCTGGAACCAAACTGGGTCTCAAGGCATTCTCATTAAACCTTTGTCTTACGCCATACGGTAGTTCTCCTCTGTACTATGTACAGCAAGTACGCGAGGCTACAAAACAGCCAATTCATGTACCATACCATGCATCATGAGGTTGCATACGCGTCATCTCGGATTGCGCCGCAGGCAAACCTCCCGATCTCCACTACTTACAGCAGTATCTACATGGAGGTCTCGTTTCGCAGAACAGAATAACGGCTCTAATTGTTGATCTCCTATCTTGGCGGTACATGTACCAAACATGAGCAGCCCGCCCGCCTGACCTCAGCTGTGAAAAGCCGAGTCGACGGCATGATCCACATGACACAGTCGGTTATAGCCTGATGGCCACACGTTCTACACAAACTCCACCATGCATGCATGTGGGCACCAGTACTTACAGCTGTCCTGTAGTTTTCTCGTTTCCGGGGTTATGTGGAATGTGTCCCCGCTTTCACGTGTGTTGGCGTTTTGCATGTGTGTGATAAGATCCGAGAATCCGACTGAGGCCTCTCACACCCTTCGTAAACGTCCTGGATCCTTCTGGACGACAACACTGCCGTTACAACACTGCCGTTACGCACAGTTTGCTGGGGTGGTTTAGTTGCTGTGCCCTCTGCTGCACACTCTCTCTCACATTTTTCCCACCCGTTCCCTTCCTACAGCAGCAACGAACAACTCTTGCCTCCTACCACAACCATCAGTATTATTGTGGCAGCGTCATGACGACAATGGCGCACATGCGATACTTCTATCACACTGACGATGATTTCATCCCTCTCAAGATCGACAACGACGGCGACAAGTCCTGTTATAAGTGTCGTCGGGCTTTTTGGAAGGGAGAGACGATCGAAATTATCCCGCCTAACACCGTCAAAAACAAATCGGGGGGTGACAACTACGCCTGGATTGGGAGGAGGTGTCGCTACAGCTGCGACGGGGGAGCACGGGGCGCGAGAGACAGGGCCACCCCCAGGCAAGGCTCTTTACACTTTATGCATGCATATGCATGCACAGAACGGTCAAAGGATTTTTTCCGGTTCTGGTACGAAAAGGCACACGGCAACGAAGATATGAAGTATATGTGAACATGATCTATCTGCACTCTCACGCACCACACTTCCCAATGCATATACATGTCATTCCGGCGTAGGCACAACTTGCCGCTTGCATCATCGAACGTCTATCTGTGCACACGCACAAAAAAAGCGCGCATGTTCTCCCGTCTTGCCGCTGTAAATAGTAGAAGAGCGGGCCCCCATCCTCTCGCCCCCGTCAACAAATAAATCAATGTACTGAAGCGTACGTGACACCTGGACGGAGGAAGAAGATGAAGTGGCCCCCTCCCAGCGTTAGGGCCCCGTCGAGACTGACACCCGCCGCGTGGACGGACCACGCAAATGGGTCGACCGGTCAAATGCACGATCTTCGTACATGTGCATGTACATATGCATACATGCGTGCACCCGAAGAAGTCCTTCTGCACATATATATAGTCTACTGTAGTCTATCCATGCCCCCTGTTGCGTGCGCACGAGGCCTGTCTCTGTTCCTGGTGCAAGGAGCACGGTCTAGACTACAGGTCCTCGTGGAACCACGTAAAAAGTATGCATGCATGTTGAGATCCTCTCCGCACTTGAGCACCATGTTTTTCCTGGTGGCCTACATGTACGCATGCTCCAAAACACTCGAGGTCGGGGTCGTCTTGCACGGAAAGACTCTATACTCTACGTACTGTCCACGTCGTCATTGTTTCCTCTTTTTAGGCTGCTGCTGGTTTGGTTCGGATATTACGGTTGGTCGCAGACCCGCCACGTTTATTTAATCGAGTCTGTCTCCGTCTCACTGAACATCATACATAGACTAGACAATTGCAAGCGTTCGCTTCCATACTGAGAACCGAGATCCCCAAAGGTGCTCATTATTTTTGTCGATTGTGGAATCGGGACCGTTGCATTTCTGATATGAAAGTCGTGGGTGGCTGTAAATCAGTGAGCAAAGCGCGGTCACACCCACCCTCGCGAGGCGGTCAGACAAGAGAGGGGGGGGACTCAGCTTCACCCCCATCATGCCCCCGTCCAGATTTTTTACTGCCACAAATAATAATTGCATACATAAACATCTTGACGGAGGACGTGGTGGTGTACGGCCCGCCTTAGGGGCCCTTCAAGGCTGCCCCCCCCCCCCGCGAATTGGTCACCTGCAGTTGGCTCTATTTTTCAAAAAGGCGGAAAGATAGCACCCCTCCTGAACCGATTTTCAAAAGTTCGATTGCTCCACCACCAAGATTGCGCCAACTCCTAAAGATACAGGTTTTCGAAACATACATTCCTCGTCGAGGGCTTTCCGTAGACAGACAGACGTCTGTATCGGGTTCTTTCCGCACCCTCTTGGCCGCGCAGCAATCGAGCTTTCTTTTGTGTGCTGGTATACGCATAGGGATCGTACCGTAAGGGTTGTGAGTCAGCGCATAGGGGTGCGATCGATTTTCAAAGCGTCATTTCTCCTCAAACAGGAGGTTACCACTGTCGAAAAGGGCTGTTTTGGAAATGTCTCATCGAGAGCTTTCCGGAGAAGTTTCAGTTGGCGCTCGCACCCTCCTGGTCTAGGGAGCGTGCCATCTCTCCGCCCTCTTGCGGTGTGTTAATGAATGAGTCCAAATTTGTACATGCACGCTCTCGTTATACCTCAACCTTCTGCACAACAATCAGTATCCATCTATGTTTGCCCCGTTTTGCGTGCGAAGGCTTGCACCCACTTGCACTCATTCGTTGTGCAAGCGTGGCACCTAACTACTGTGAGAGGTCCTTCAAGTATACCTTAGACTTGGTAAATCCAAAGCCCTTCGTTTTTAACACAGACTTCGTACCATTATTATTTGGCGGGTGACCTAAAAAAGAGTCAGTCTTGCAAGCTGGTCTGCAACCTGAGTTTCACAATTTACAGTTTACTATTTCGGGAAACAAACCGTGTGGTGGGTGACCTCTCCTACTCTATACCCTCTCCGTACAACTCAAGGTGTGTGATATTTCCAGGTCCTGCTGTACCTTTTCCTTCTGTGGTCACAGGCAGGGCCCAACAATGGTACAACATGTGGCGGTAGCCAGCCGAAGACACGACGCCAAGCCAAAAGCATGAAGTCGACTCCCTGCAGAAACAAACATCGTTCCACAATAACAACAGACGGTAGCTCGACAGACAGGCGCAGGCCCACCCCGCAACGCTTATTTACTACGCAATTTCGTGCCATCCCGCTGGTGGTGTTCCCCTAGTTTATTAGCGAACAATCAATTCGTTTTTTTTCCGTTCTCCGGCTCCACCCACGTCCGTCCGTGCGTACCGGCGAAAGACATGGATGGATGGCGTTTTTCGACAGATGAGCAGTCTCATGTCCTCGTCTGAACCTGCCTCCTCCTCCTCTCGCCCCACGTCCTTACACAGGGGGAGTGAAACACATGATGATGTTTCGCGACACAGCAGCACTACTAGGCCCTGGTTTCTGGCGAGGGTTATCGCGTCGATCAGGAGCTGTGTTTCCCTGTGAGCCGAAGCAAGGGGGCATTGTTTTGGCGCTGGACGTGTGGCGTTCACCTTTCGCTAGCTGTGATTGATGTGGACAGATTGTGGAAGCAGCAAGATGAAGTGCAAGACGGGGGGGGGGGTTGGGGGTGGACCGACAACATGGCTAGAACAGAGGCAGGGGATCGAACAAGCCCTTGTGAGATAGTTTTCGCGCGCTCCAACTCGTTGGCAAGGAATATAGTCTATATATGCCTGTGCTTGGAAATGTATACTTCATTGAGAACCGCTCGAGCTGGTGCCAAGTCCGTTGCGTGTTTACCTCAGTTCTATTGTGTTTCTCCCTACCTACTCTTTGCGGCGAGAGTTGTCGCATTTTCTTTGTCGGAGGGAAGGGCCAGAGTAGTAGGCGTACACCAATGCACGTGCGTGCGCGGGGACAGACGGTTGGAATATTGTTTGCGAAGGTCGAAGACCTCTTGTCTTGCAGTTCCTGTGCCTCATCGCCGGTGGTAAGTTGATCTGGTCTGTCTGGTGTGTTCGGCTGGAAGCTTATTAATGCAACCTGTCCGTAAGCGAAGAAATGAGCCGTACTTAGCTGCTTCCAGAGCAGTAGTGGTACTACAGACGTCTGTCAGTCGTTTGTCCTCTTTTTTTTTTTTTCGTCGAATTTGAGGCTTGTGAAGCTCTGCCAAGAGCACAAACACACACACGTGCCTATCTATATAGATAGGTAGATCGGAGTTTACTGGGTACGATATACCCGCCGCGCACTCGCCTCGGTTGGTTCATCTACGCCCGCCCGTGTGTTTTATTTCCTACCGGACGTTGCTCTAAGAAAAAATAAACGAAAGCTGTAGGACCATCACATTGATTGACAACTCGCTGCGCTTTTTTTTACCACATTTATTTCAGGTTACTCAGTACGGAAGGAAGATGTAGGTATGTATGTGAATTAATGTTGTATGTATGCTGCTCCTGTTTTATTTTTGTCTGTCCTGATGATAGTAAGACAGACAGACAGACAGACAGACAGACAGACATCAAGATGTTGTTATGCGCACGTTGGTGCACTTTTTTTTTAGTCCTTCCCGTCCTCCAGAGCGCACGCGACGGGGTTGGTTGGTTGTTAGCACTAACCAACTACGTTTAGTTTAGGTTTTCGGGCCGTTTTTTTGTCTGTTCGCATCATCAACTCTTACGTTTACCGAAAGAATTTTCGATTCTGCTTTTTTCCTTCCTTGCCGTATGCATATATATTTGGCCTTGTTTAGTTTGGCGTTCGTTGTGTTGGTTGCGTTGTTGTCTGTTTGCAGTCGATCGTGTATGTATGATGGTCTTTGTCCGGTATTTTTCGCGGCGCCAAGCTGCACTTTCTTTTTGGGTATCATAAGGGTATTAAGTGGTTGTTCCGACGACTGACTATTATGCATTGCAACAACATCGTCGGTACCCGCTTTCCCACGGCAGAAGAAAGTTGGGTTTTTATTGTCTTAACGTGTTCTGCGCGTTTCACAGGAAGATGGCGCATGATTTTCTCAACACCCCGCCAATCAATAATGAAGTACGCAAAAATATGCTCGCGTTCGGAAAGCAAACCCGCCGCACCTCAAGGAGGGTACGTACGGACCTACAAGTATGGTACCTCTATTGTTGGATGGAGAACAATATGAGGAACAAAGTGAGTGGCAGATCAGGGACGGGCGGGCGTGGAGATAGATTGACATGATTCCCGAGTTGTTAACGTGGTGTAGTGTGTCTTTATTTCTAGCGTCTACCGCGCTGACCAATTAAAACACTTCGATTCGTCGTCAGTCTCCTTGATCTTGAGCGGTCGGAAACAGAAAAAAGGGGTGGGTGTGATGGCGTCGTCCTCGCGTCTCGTTGCCCTTCCTTGACAATTTGGGGCATGCATCCCTTCTACCCAAAGTCAAGTCAAGTCATGGACGGACGGACGGACGGACGGACTGGACGCGGTTCGGTGCACCATGAAGGGAGGGAGTGTTAGTGTTCCTTCCTGCAGAAGAAGAAACGCTCGGCTCGGGGGGAACGTACGTACCCAGCCAGAGGGGAGAAGGCAAAGGAAATCATCCTTACTTTTGCCCCATCTTGTTTTGCCTACTATTAATAACACGTACGTACGTACGGCGTTGTTGCTGTGGTCACCAATGAGTTCGTTCGTCGCCGTCCTTCGTCATCATCCATCACATCCGTTCCTGGGGCGCGAAAAACAACTCCTTACAACAAAAGGCGGGATGACGGTGGTGTGTAGTCGCGGAGATAAACCACCATCATAATCATCGCGCGAAAACACCAGAACCACCATGATGCCACGTTACGAGAAGAATGGACACACAGAGATAGATAGGTGGCTGGACTCGTACAAAAGGTACGTATTGAGTCGAATTGAGCTGGCTTGAATACGTTTATCCATTAATTCTTTTTAGTACACATGGTCCAAAAACACGCGATGTACACGTTTACTACAAGTCATATATATCGGGTTAAACACACATACACCAAAGGCCCTGCGTGCTGTCTTTTTTGAGAGAGGGAAAAGAAACCACTCCGGCGTGGTACATACTTCATTGCACCCGACAATACCGGCACCACCATCGGTCGAGCTTGCGTGAAGGGAGTCTAGCACTTTTCTCACATACAATTTTCGACCGGGGAGCCAACTACGGTCCTCGCTGGTCTACGAAGATATCGAGGAAGATTTCCTCAACCTTAAGTGCCCTGCATTAACACCAGTGTTCCCTGGCACCGACAGTTCCTCCTGCAGATATTGCTGGATCGCTACCCACTCCCCCGCGTACTGGGCGAATAAGAGAATAAGAAGGCACAGAGTCCACACCTCGGCAACAGGAACAAGACTCATAAAAAAGCGCACAGACAGGGAGAATAAGAACCAGCGAACCGCAAGGAAGTGCCAGAAATGCTTCACGAAAGCACGTCGATCCGCGCACCGGTTGTCGAAGACCGAAACCAACCATGGGTCACACCACACATCATTCGCATCCCTCCGTGACAGAGCCAAAAACATGGCGCCAAAAGACGGGCGCACCAAAAGGCCCATCCCATACGTCGGTTTGATGATGAGTGCCCGCACACCAAGCGACACTCAGTACGCTGTTCGAGTGCACTACCAAAGAATCCCGCCCTTGGTACCTACTGCTGTGAATCGCGATACTGCAAATCATGACCCACCGCTATTGGACTCCTCTGTTCCGTTCCTTTGGTCGCTCTCTACGGACGGACGGGCACTGCCACGCCACACTTATAAAAAGAATTAAAAAATTCGTTGGATGTACAAAAAAAAAAAAAAAACGTGACACCGAAGAAAACAGACTTGGCTGCCGTAGGTAAGGACGGCAGAGGCCAGTTTTCCAGCGACACGTCTCGAGGGTGTGCCACAATACATCACGCAGGAACCTTGGGCAGGTGGCCCCGCCTACCATGAGGTAGGTGCCCTATGCAGGGAGCAAAACGCGCCCGCGTCGCGCCCTGGTACAGGTTATGCTAGTCCCTTGGGTATACACGCCCCGTCCGTCAATCCCCTGTCTCCCATGGGATGTGTTGTGTGTACTCCTTTCGTGTTCTCCGTACGGCACACCGAAAATTGCACATGTGTTGATCGCTATCCAGGAAAGGGATCTGTTCCCACCACCAAGCCCCCGGTCTATTGCCGGCCCCCTGACATCGTAAGAGAGCCGAAAAGACAAAAATTATACCCCCCCCCCCCCCGCCTCGCAGGCCCCCCGGCTAGGGGTGGGCGGGCGGAGCAGAAGGTCTTGCGGGGAGGAGCAGCCGGGTGCCCGCTGGCCCGAGGGAAGGTGGGGGGGGGCCTCGTCGGGGAGGGGGGTGTTTGGCGCGACTCCGGGCGCTTC